GCTTCGTGTGTTATTTTCGACGGAATAAAAGTCACTTGTTGTTCTGGCACGAGAGAGTTCGCACGAACCTTCTTCTGGCCCGGCATGGCCTCCACATGGTGTCAGAAGTGCCAAACGTTATGCCTAACGACGTAGGCCTCGCCTCCGCATGAATCGTCTCCGCCGTAACTGCGTAGTTCGCTCGCCCGTCGCTTGGCTTTCGACCGCCGTGTTCCTGCTCGCTGCCGTCCTGCTCGCTGCCATGCCTGACGACGAAGGAAACGGCGCCAAGCCTTCATGGCAAGGTCTTTCACTGCATCAGCCCGACCGCTTCGACTTCGAGAACGCCGGTTCCTGGCCGACGTGGCTAAGCCTTTTCGAGGACTACGCCTTCGCTTCCGGTCTTCGACAGGCGTCGGGAGAAGTTCAGGTCCGCAAACTTCTTTATTGCATGGGGCCGGAAGCTCGTCCTCTTCTTGCGACGTTCGGCCTCGGCGACGCTCCTACGGACTACAACGTGGTCGTAGAGAAGTTTACGGCCCATTTCGTTCACCCCCTCAACGAGGTGTACGAGTCGGCGCAGTTTCACCGGCGAGTCCAGCAGCCGGGGGAAAGGGTGGACAGCTACTATGCGGAACTCTGCAAGCTCTGCAAGAGATGCAACTACCCGTCACCCGAGGTCGTGGAACGCCTTGTCCGCGACCGCTTCATCGTAGGCTTACGCGACGCTCGCCTCGCCGACCAGCTCTGCCGCAACCCCAAGTTAACCCTCAAAGAAGCATGGGTGCAGGCGAGACAAGCAGAAGACGCCCAAAAGCAGAGAGACCAGCTCGCAGGCCACGACACGCAGTCTCGACCGGTGAGCCTCGACGCTGCCAAGTCTCGGCAGCCACAAGCGGGACGCGTCAAGTACAGCTCAGCACGCGACAAGCGCACCTCAAGCTCTAGCTCCTGCGGCTACTGCGGCCGCGCTTCACACGCTCGCTCGGAATGCCCCGCCCGCAACTCGTTGTGCAACCACTGCAAGAAAAAAGGCCATTTCGCGGACGTCTGCCGTTCCCGGAAGAAACGGTCGACCCAGGTGGCAGAGCTGGGTTTGTACGCCGTTCGCAACTCCGACCAAGGCAAGTTCGTGGAAGTAACTGTCAACGACTACACGGAAGTGTTCAAGGTTGACTCGGGAGCCGAAGTTTCAGCCGTCTCGAACACCTTCCCCAACCTGCCGCCGTCCCTCGACAAGGTGGACGACACTCTCTTCGGGCCAGGGCAGCAGCCACTGAACGTTCTTGGGTCCTTTATGGCCACTTTGCTGTGGAGAGGCAAGTCAACCCAGCAAAGACTATATGTGGTAAAATCCCTCTCCGTGCCTCTTTTGGGCTTTCCAGCCATTCAGGCACTTCAAGTCGTCAAATTCGTCGACGGCGTCTCATCGAAAGAAAAGGACCCTCCTACCGTCAAAGTCTCTTCTCAGACTTGTGACAAGCTGTTTAATGGCCTCGGATCTCTCTCTGAAGAATACAAGATCCGCCTCCAACCAGACGCTGTTCCATTTTCTCTTAGCGTGGCAAGGCGCATCCCCATTCCGTTGCGGGAAGTCGTCCGCAAGGAACTGCAGAAGATGGAACAAGAAGGCGTCATTCGCCGAGTTGACACGCCAACACCATGGTGCGCTGGACTGGTGGTCGTCCCCAAAGCCACCGGGGGCCACAGGCTGTGCGTGGACCTTACGAAGTTAAACCGGGTGGTCCTGCGAGAACGCCACATCCTTCCCACGGTCGACCAGGTCCTGGGCCTGCTGGGAGACGCAACGGTGTTCTCCAAGTTGGACGCTAAATCAGGCTTCTACCAGGTGAAGTTGGCGGAAGAATCTCAAGAACTCACCACATTTATCACACCTTTCGGACGCTACTGCTTCCGTCGGATGCCCTTCGGCATCACCTCTGCGCCCGAATTTTTCCAGAAGCAGATGTCCAGGATTTTGGAAGGCCTGGAAGGCACTGTGTGCATGATAGACGACATACTCGTCTTCGGACGCACTCTCGAAGAACACGACTCCCGCCTGCAGCAAGTCCTGATGCGACTATCCCGCGCAGGCATCACTTTGAACGAGAAGAAGTGCTGCTTCCGCCAGAGCGAGGTTTCCTTCCTGGGGGTGATGGTATCTGCAAGGGGCATCCGTCCTGACCCAAGCAAGCTCCAAGCGATCAAGGAGATGAGTGCGCCAACTGACATTGCAGGTGCAAGACGCCTCCTTGGCATGGTGAACCACCTCGGGCGTTTCCTTCCGCACGTTTCGGACGTTGCAGCTCCTATCCGAGCGCTCCTCAGCAAGAATGCTGCGTGGAACTGGTCCCACGAACAAGAAACAGCATTCACCAAGCTCAAGCTGATGCTCGTCTCGGACCGCTGTATGGCGAAGTATCATCCGGCGTACCCAACAGTCGTCTCAGCGGATGCCAGTTCATTTGGCTTGGGGGCAGTCCTTCTACAAACTCAGCGTTCCGGCGAAAGAAGACCGGTTGCTTTTGCGTCGAGGTCCCTTACAGCGACTGAATTACGTTATAGCCAAACGGAGAAGGAAGCCCTGGCAGCTGTATGGGCTATTCAACGGTTCGACGAGTTCCTCCGTGGGTTGGTCTTCGACGTAGAGACGGATCACCTGCCTCTGGTCTCACTGTTTGGCAAGATGGACCTGGACATGGTACCTCCACGTATCCAGCGCCTTCGACTGAAGGTGATGCGGTACCAGTTCACAATGTCATATGTCCCTGGGAAGCTTCTCACAACAGCGGATACCCTGTCTCGTATGCCAACGGAACCTGCCGATTCGTCTCATCCTGTAGACACAATCGAAGTGTTTGCTGCGGAAGTCCTTCAGACCTCATCAGAAGCAGCATCTCTACAGCTGGATGACCTTCGAACTGCTCAAGCAAGCGACGGGGAGTGTCGCGCACTCACGTCGATGTGCCACAACGGGTTCCCTCCGAAGTCAAAGTTACCGCTTCACCTGACGAAGTATGCAAGCGTGTTGGACAAACTTTTGGTTTGTGATGGTTTACTCCTGAAAGGCACTCGCATTGTGGTACCAGCAGTGCAACGTGCGACAGCGCTGACTTTGATTCACGAAGGTCACCAAGGTATTAACAGATGCAAGGCTCGGGCCCGGGAATCAGTATGGTGGCCAAGTATCAACGCTGACATAGCAGCACTCGTGGCACAATGTGAACAGTGCACGTCGTACCGAGACAATCCAGCAGAGCCACTTCGGAGCACGCAGCTTCCAAGTCTACCTTGGGACTTTCTGGGCGCTGACTTGTTTCACCTGAACCGACAGTCTTACCTCCTCGTGGTCGACTACTATTCCAGTTATCCGGAAGTGGTCTCGCTCAACTCTGCAACAGCTGGGCATGTCATCCAAGCGCTCAAGAGCATTTTCGCTCGTCACGGCATCCCCTCCACTCTGCGTTCAGACAACGGACCACCCTTCCAGTCCCACGAGTTCGCTCGGTTCATGGCATCGTACGGAATCGTACACCACACAAGCAGCCCCAACTTCCCACAGTCCAATGGGGAGGCAGAGCGCATGGTGCGCACGGTGAAGAACCTGCTACGCAAGGCGCACGATTCGTGCCTGGCTTTGCTCAACTACCGAGATACCCCCGGACCCTCAGGTTTCAGTCCGGCACGATTGTTGATGGGGCGCCGACTCCGCACCAGACTTCCCAAGGCGGGGAGACTGTTGGTACCAAGTAGCAAGCCACAGGAGGAGGTGGCCACCAAGGCCGCGAAGCTGAAACGTCGGCAAGTCACCGACTTTGATCGCCGCCATCGGGCTAGAAGCCTCTCGCCGCTGGAAGACGGTACCCGTGTCTGGGTTCGTCCGGAACGGGTAAGGGCTACTGTGCTCAGTCCAGCGCAACGTCCCAGGTCGTACGTGGTAGAAACAGATGAGGGAGCAATCTGGCAGCGCAACCGGAGAAACTTGGTGCCTTTCAGGACAGGCAGTGAAGACCCAACTGCGAGAGAAGAGGCTCAAGATCTGGCTCCTTCTCAAGAACCGGCGGCACCTGCAGCGCAGGAATGGGCTTCCCCTCGGCAACCACCTGCACCTGCATCTCAAGGACGGGCTCTTCCTCAAGGACCGGTTCCTCCTCAAGAGTTGGTGGCACCTGCAGCTCAAGGATCGGCTCAACCTCGGCAGCCACCTTCGCCTACGAGCCACAACCTCCGGCGCAACGAACCTGACTTGGATACCTCACCTGTACAAAGAACCAGGTGTGGCCGACGGGTGGTGCGTCCCAGGAAGTTGGACCTTTAGTGTGATTCTGAGGGGGGAGATGTAGAGGGCGCAACCCTCGCGTACGTGATTGCCGCAGGCAACCCTGTGCCACTGCGGGGGCGGCTTCGTGTGTTATTTTCGACGGAATAAAAGTCACTTGTTGTTCTGGCATGAGAGAGTTCGCACGAACCTTCTTCTGGCCCGGCATGGCCTCCACAGAGGTTGTCAGCAGAAAACCCCCTAAATGTCGCACCCCTTGCTTTCATTCGTCTCCCCAAGCCTTCGTAACTTCGGATAGCCTCACCACACCTACGGCGTCTGCTGCAGTTATGCTTCTTTAAGCACTGCAATTACTCGCAACACCAAATCTGTTATATGGCTCGCTCCTAGCCACTTCTTGTAAGGCACTCTCGTAATAAAAAGGCGTCGCACGAGTGCTGCGTCAGCGTTTGGCTTTCACTTGTGTCCTCGCTCATCTAACGCAAGTCCCAGCCGAACGCGGGTGTCCGAGCAACGTGTCACGCCGGCCTCGGGTGCGGGTTACGTAAGAAATGAGTCACTACTGCCTGGTTGCCCAGCGAGGGTTCAATGGGCACGCTCGCGCATACAGCGGGGAGTGTGCGGGAGAGGAAGAGAGCAGGCACCCGCTAAATGGGGGGAGACGCGAAATAGCGACGGTCCACCTCGCGGGTTGAAGCTTTGCATCTGCGTGCCTCGAGCAAGACTCCTTTTCTTTGTGCAGCTCTACCCCCGGGTGAAGCCCTGTCGCGAGGTCGACCCCGCCGACTGCTCCTAACAGGACTCGGGGGAGGCCTCCCAGTCTGCCGGGAGCATACCCTGACGAGCACAGATCGCCACGTCATGCGCAGGACTTGCCTTACGCTATGTCCGACCGACCGTCGAATGCGGCGAACCACCCCACGCAACCCACCTTTGTATCCGCATTTGTACCTTGCCGTCCCGAGTGCAAGACCGAAGAGCCCACCGGCTTTCGGGGTCGCTGCCGAGATGTCTAAGCGTTGCCCGAGCTCCGTGGTGAGAGACGCGAGTTGGGAGGGGTCCCTGCCGTGTCTTTTAGGGGGTCCTGCGACAGATGTGCCAGGCTGCTGCCAGATTTGTTGCAGAAACTGGTTAACGGACAATGCTGAGAAGCTCGCGAAATTAGTACTATGTAGTATTTCTGGAGCCAAAGGCATATGGCCTTCGGGCGACACCTCCGTCGATCCACCCTCGACTTCTACGGAAAAGCCGAGGCAGTCTCACAGAGGGAAGAGCTGAAGTTGCGGACCTTGTTTTTTTTTGTCTTTTCGGGCCTTCTCTTTTTTGTGACTTTTTTTTTTTTTTTTGCACGAGACCAACGGTGACGCTTTTCACCGTGTGTTGTCTTCGGCAAGATAAGATATTGCGGGCCTAAATTTGGTGGTCTACCTTTTTCCTTTTAAATTGTGCACATCGTAAGTGCTGCGTGTCATTACAGAAAGCAAAAGGTAACATGCGATTGCAAGATTACCCGTCTTTATTTTTCAATTTTGAACCACTCCAGCATAATTTTATTTGTTGTTTCATACCCTGCAACTTTTATGCTGACCAAAGTTTTAATGGAGATGTAAGCAGGATATCTGCCAGAAGTGCGCGATTCAAAGAAAACGAGGTAAAAAAAAAGTGCTAAGACATGTTTTTTTGTTGTTCTTGCATTTTTGCTGTATTTCCTTTATTTGGAGTGACGTGCCAGAAAACTGCATTTTTTACGAAGAATTTTGATGTTGGCCTCCCCTTCCCGTCTTGTATCTCTCCCTCCCTCTTGCTTAGTAGCTGCAAAGCGAAGACGTGCAGAGAGAGATATTGTTCATTGCTCTTGCTCCAGTGTCGAGCTGTTTCCACCTAATCGTTGCACTATTAGTCTGGACGAGATGCCATTGTTTCAGAACTCGCCAAGCGATTTTTGAAAGCTATAAACTTTAGCATCCTGTCCTGACTTCTAGTGCTACATTTACAATGGAGACACGAGTATTTGGTTTTGTGTAGTTTATTTTTATGACGAGAAAAACATAGCTCTCTTCCAAACAGCTCTTACATGAGCTCACAGAGGGGGTTTGTACGACTCTATATTAAAAGGCCTGCACCACCTGTCGGCCTTGCACACCTTGGAACTCTGCAGCTGTACTGATATCTTCTGCTCGGAACTTTTCAAATCTTTAGGTCGCCATTAATTCACAGCTTTAGGGTTATACTGAAGCCTGCCTGTTTCAGTTAACCTCCTTGAGCTGGTGCAGACTTCCTCAGGTGATTCAAACAATAGATATTTATGTTAATTTTTGCTGGAGTGGCAAGGTAGAGCGAGAGGTGGTCCCAGACATTAGTTCTAGGGGAGGCAAATTCCAGATATTGGTTCGGTGGAGGGGGGCAATAATCTAGGCGGCAGGAGCGACCATAAAAGTCACGGCAGACAGCGCCCGGGAGATTATCTCAGATATCTCAGAGCCGTCGCCGCCATGTCGCGTGGTGCCGCCTAGACCAAGAATATCTCAAAGTGATTGCTAACATTCTCTTTTAAAGAGAGCTAGATGACAGAACTTGAAATGATTTGTGAGGTGTGGCTGGCGTACAGTGCAATCCACTTACAACGATAACGCAAAAACCCAAACATTCAATCGTTATAACCGATTATTGTTATATCTGGGCTAGGAACTGATCGTTTCTTGTGAAACTAAAAACTGATCGTTATAAGTGGTACATTGCTATATGTGGTATCGTTATAAGGGGAGTGCGCTGTACATCGAAGTCAACTGACCACTTCCAGTGAACAAAGGTGCTCCTACATTCTTCAAATAAATGTAAAAGAAAAAGCATGAGTGAAGAGGCTTTGGAGGGGGCGAACGCCCCCCTCGCTCCCCCCTTAGTACTGCCCCTGGTTGGAGCCATGAATCACTATCAGATAGCCTGAATGAAGGTTCTGTTGTCTACTGTGTTGGGGGAATTGCGCTAGAAATTCAAAAACAGAGCAAATGATATTGCTTTAATGAAGCTTAAAAGGGTCATAAAACGATATCGGGTTGGAATGTTTATGACCTTACAGAGGGGTACTTGTCCTAGTCTGGCACAAGTATACTCGCACGGACCACCACTGATTCAGAAGCTTCTCGGTCGCAGTGAAATTGCGAGGATAAAGGGGCACTATTTCTTTCAGGCTTGCCTTCGCAAAGCTTGATGGCATAATTGTAAGATAGAAACCACCCGCCTGACGACAGTCGCGGCTGGGGGATTGGACACGAGAACTGCGTGAGCACTGAAGTTCGGCTCGGAACAATCAATGCCTTGGCGGACAGTCGGGTAGTGGCTCGTGTCCAACCACTGGAGTGATGAGAATAACCGAACTCTAACAATGCCGGGAACTCGGCATACGTTTTCTACTTTGCCGAACCAGCGAGTGGGTATAATTAACATTGGCAGCATAGGATAGGCACCAGGCAACGTGTCCGTTTGTTCTGGCTCCGAGTTAAGGGGATGGTTGCCACTCGTATTTCTCGAATTTCTTTGCCGACTGCCACTGCTTAAAAAGAAAATCTAAGGCAAGTTTATTCAGTTCTTAACGTTAGGGAGTGATTCTGAGTTGTATTTAGCGCAAGTAGAAAGATTGTTTCATGGCCCCTCTAATATAATCACAACCAAAATATGATGCTAGACTTCCTTCTAGAACCGGTGTTAGAAATGCTCTCATCAGCTCCTTGAGTACCACTAAAGTGGCAGCTACCACTAGAGCAACACTGGGCAACGCTTCAGCATTTTTGTGCAGACCCTTTGCGATACCACTCCTAGAGCCGGTTAGCAATTTTGTCTTCGCTTAGTGCTTTCAGTTTTGCCATAAGCACCTCAAAACCAAAGTGTAGGGCCAGACAACTTCTAAATTTTACTGAGCGCAGGAAAAAAAAGAAATAATGACACCACGAAATTCAGGAATGCTGACCTCACTAAAAACGGTCGTACCCATCTCCAGAACCCACGATGTTCAGCGGAGTCGCCTTTTAAAGTGCAGACGAAAAATACCTCCGTAATCTAGTATTCTTTATTAAAACTCAACTTGTCCTTTAAAGGTAGGCTTATGGGTTTTTTCGATATGCAAGTATTTCTAGAATTGCCTCATTTTTAATGTTTGCCATTGCTATGCTCTGTAAAAGTCACTTCCTCTAGATGAGCTTTGTAAGAGAATGTTCAGTCATTATGTTGTGCCTGAGTGGCTCTAATTTTGTTTCACCAATCATCCAAAGAGCTTTGCAATGTCCTAGCGACAGAAGACTACATAATTGCCCAGCCAGGAGGGTAATTTTCGGAGAAGCCCCCAGCATGCACTAAAGTAAAAACAAAACAGCATATTCGTAATATCATGTTTCTTGGGTATGACTTTCTTGTACAGCAGTATTTCTGTGCCAGTTAAATTTTTTATGGGATGCACTTTTTTTTCTATTCTGTATTATGACTCCTGGCCTTCACTGGTAGCATATCTGGTGTCTTGTATAATACTGCCACTACACTACGATCCTTTACTGCAGTAGTATTTGGTGCATGCACTAACGAGCTGTTCGTTGGTGTGTTCACATGAAGCTGGTGTTATTTGGCTCTCTGAATATAGTTTTGTCAAGTTTGCATGGTATAACCAGAGCTTGTTAGCGATGAATGGTAACACCCAGGCCCCAGGCATCTGTGGTTATTACTCTGAGGAATTGTGTGAAAGTGTTTGGTGCCTTTCATTGTCTCGTTCGTTCACTCATCGTCATTGCCTATCTGCATGCTGAAGACATTGTGCGTGCTTGTCCACTTTGTCGTGGAACAATGGGCACAGGCTGTCATACTGAAGCTGCCTTTATCAAGTTGCATCCTGTTGTCATAATATGCACTTTCTGGTTATTGTTAAAATGGAAAAGCTTCTCTGGAGGGCACTCGGTAAATTATCTTCCCCAATATCGAAGACGAGACTCGGGAGAAAATACTTTTGTGTTCATGTTATGTTCCTTCTGAATGGGAGGGTTTAACTTAACCTGCACATTCTCCCATGATTTCAAACGGCTAAGTCTTTGGGAACAACAAACTTCCTGTCCAACATCGTAATTTTTACTTTATCCCTCGAAAACCCAGTTCCTTGTCGGAATTTAAGGAAAATAAATGACTGCAAGAGGGTTTTTATGCAAGATGCTTTAGTTCAGCTAATTGGTTTGTTGCTTTTGTTAAGTGGTTCTCAACCACTGACGTGGGACCGCTTCTGGATCGGTCGAAGTGATGGGGGACCCCATCTGCAGGTGGGGCGGGGGTAATTGTAAGGACAAAATGAAATTCAAATAAATTTAGAATAACTAAAGCATAGAATTGTACTAATTCTTGATATACCTGTCTTCCATATTAGACTACATAACTTACCGAGTGTCCCTTTCACTTGCAGTGCCTGTCATTTGTAGCCCAGTATATCACCCAAAGCTCAAATTTCCCCGAGCTCACTGTTATGCTCTGCTGTGCAAGTGTGGATCTGACATCCTGGTGACCAAATACACTATATATATCCACTTCAGCATGGACCAAATCATTTACCAAGGAAATGGTTTGTTGTGCTTCTAGACAGGAAGTGACCAGTGAGAGCTTATTGTGGACGGTACTACCGAAATACTACAATGCACAATAAACTGTACAACTCAACGAAAACAAAAATCATGAACATAGCGAGAGTTTGGCTTTCTTTATTTTTATTTTCTGAAGTGTGAATGTACTTGGAGTGCTCATGATTGAGTGAATTTGGGAAGTTATGAATCCAGAATGTGTGTGAGTGAAGTTTTACCATAATGGGGCTGTGATCGGTCGCGAATGACTCTTTGTTGGCAAGGTGCACCCGCTGGGTGCCTTTGGGGACTTGGACCAATAAAATGGCTCTGTGTGGCCTCTTTTTTTATATGAACCTGGCTTTGTTATGTATTCGCAACATGCATCACTCTTTTTCTGTGACTTATTTTTTTTTCTTTTTAATAATTAAAAATATCACGAAGAAAGGTTCAGTTCATGTCAGTTTTCTTCGCGGCCGGCAACACTCTCCGCAATCCGCTACGATACCTAGAACTCTATAGTCAAGGCCATCGGTGTGCAAGCGCAGTAGCAGCTTCTTAGTTGCGGAGGGCTTAGCGAGGGGGAAACGCAGTCTATGAAAACTCCCTAATCACGTGGAAGATAACGCACAAACTCTGCCATCACCCTTTTTATTTTTAATTTTTTTAAATTCCTTTTTTTTTTTTTTCCCTATCGGTCGCACGCTTTTTCACTCGCTCAGACGCTCGGAGCGCGGTTTCGTCGCTCCGCCCCTCGTCCCTCGCGTCGTCACCAGGTGGTGCCACGCACCCACCATAGGCAGTGTTCCTCGATATGCTTCCCCAAAGGGGGAGCAGAGTTGCCCATTTGTTTGCCCCACGCCGCTATTCGCCGAGATCTATCACGTGAGGAGCAAAGCATCCAGCGCCGTGCAAGAAAGCCACCTTTACGGTCGCTCCGCCGACGTTGCTCGCGCCCCGGCGTATGTTCCCCTGCTTTCGCCTCCTCCTCCTCTCCTGTTTTCCATGCGCGGCGCCGCTATTCGCCAAATTTAGTCACGTGAGGAGCAAAGCATCCACGGCGTGCAGGAAAGCCGGCGCTACGGCCACCCGCCGAGACTGAATGCGCAACTCTGCTACCTTAGGTAGCTATATACAGGAACTCTAACCATAGGCAGAGCCGTATGCAGGCCGCAAGTTTGTCTGCATCTTTTGCAGGGGTTGTGGTGACGTAAGAACGCCGAGCTTTGACCTCAAAGCAGCTTGCTTTTAGGTCTACCCACTATTCTTCAATCGGAGCTCGGCATCTTTCTGACGTCACCGCAACTCTTGTGCCCATCGGTCCAAGAAGCAGACCAATCTCGCCGCCGTAATGTCCCTCTCCTGAGTGAGCCAATCAGCCCGCAGCGCAGAGCGAGAAGCGTGAGCGCATGCGCGTGATCTCCCAGCTGCTCCTAGCTGAGCGGGGAGGGCCGCCATTTTCATTCATTCGTCCAGTGGAATGCATGGAATCAACATCCAAATTTCGGTTCTTTCCCTTTATTTGACAGGCTGTGGCAAGAAAATGATATAGTGTTATTCCTTGGTGGCTTAAAAAGCTAAAGAATGAAGTTTCTCCACATTTGAACGTCAAGCGAACATCCGGCGAAAAAGAGATAAGAGATATTCAGGGGAAAAAGAGCAGACGACGCGTAGCCTCAGCAGTAGCTGCATTCGATTTACTTACACCTGCACCGGTGCAGAAAAGTGTAGGACACTGTACTTCAACTGCACTTTCCTACACTTTTCTGCACCGGTGCAGGAAGTGTAAGTAAATCGAACGCAGCTAGTGCTCTGCGCCGACAGCGCGCTGCGTCAAAATGCCGGTCGTTTCCCTTTTGCTCCCTTCTTTCTCTCTCGCACCTTCGGCGCTCTCCTCAGGTCCTCATCACATGAGCGAATGACGTTTTAGCGAACCGCGACATTTGAGTGAATCGACGTTTTAGGCAACCCCCGGAGCTGCGCTTACTCCGCTTCGCGGCGACAGTCTGCGACGGCTAATTACAAAAGTGTGAACCCACTTGGCCTAGGGAGCCTTCATGTGCGCTTTGCTAGGGTGATGCCACCCTTTGTAATACCACTCGCCGACAACCCAGCAGCCATTTCGGTTCTCGGCTATAATCCGTGGGGCTTATAACCCTCCCAGAAACAAGCACCTTATCTCACAAGTTCGGAGCAGCGTTGTGGAACCCACGGAGGGAGGATTAGCATTTTCCCCCTCGGATGGGAAGACCGATGGACACAAAGGCCACTTTCCGGCGCACGGGGAAACAATGAGAGGAACGAAATGCGGTGGAAGAGGGTGTGGGAAAGGGAAACAGGCAGTGGCATCACTCTATGCGAAGCGCACATGAAGGCACCCTAACTTGGCCCACCCGAAAACGCCGCTTCGCAGCGTCCGACTATTCGCTAAAGTGTCGTTCAGTGAAACGTGGGCAATCGCTAAAACGTCATTCGATCAAGTGAGTGCCTCCCGCTCTCGTCCCGCTCTTCACTTTTCTCCTGTCCAGCGCCTTCGTTGCCACACCCACTGGCCAGACCAGACATGTACAAATTACTCAAAAAAGGTAGTTAAGTTAAGTTACTGAGTATCGACGCCAAAAGTAATTGGAGTAGAGTAGAAATTACACATTTGTAATAGTAATTGCGTAAACTACTAACTACTCTAAAAAGTAGCGAGTTACTTTGAAGTTACTTTCGAAGTTACCTTTTTATATTTTGTGGAAGCAAGATGAACATCAGTTTTGATCAATGGAAAACCCTGCGAGCCTAAAATAAATGCAGTCTATTTATAGCTTGCGTTTTCGCCAAAATAGTTTATTCGCTCGCAGAAGCAATTGACTTTCAAAGTTCTTGATAGGAGAATTTTCCCCTTTTCCTTCTAAAGACGTCCCCAGCCAAGCTAAATAGACGTTCTACCGTGGCACTGAATGGAACGGCAGCGTTGAATTTGAGAAACAGGCTGTGCAGGGTCGGGTAAGCGAGTGTCGGCATCTTAGGTGTCCATGACGAGACATGTGAGGTTTGTCTCGGACGTCATTTCCGATACCCTCCAGAGAAGAGGAGGAGAAGGAGCTCCTCTTTTATCAGGACCCTCCTTTGTGCCTTCCGGATTTGCACAGGCGTCGCTATTCTCCTCCCAGAAGATAATAGAAGATTAACCCGTCACTCAAAATTCTTACAAAAGCAGCTTCCCTCTCCTCCTTTTAGTTGGTGTGCAAATGTGTGCGATGTGACGTCAATGCAAGGAACTCTCCTACGTCACGCCGCGGTGGTGGCGCGCCGGACGCACTTCCGGTCTGGGGCGGTGGGCAGAAGTCGCCGTGCCAGACATGCATTCCTGTGTTCCTTTGGAAGAAACGAGACAAACAACCTGCCTTTTTGTAAAAATGCTGCGATGGGGGCTGTACCAAGAGAGTCTGGAAAGGTTTGAAGATCAGTTTTCATGTGTTTTTGCCCCCTCCGTTCGTCCGAGAACGTGGATAGTAGCCGTAAATAGGGCAAACCAGACGCTGTCGAACTACGATTGCTTGTGCGGGCAATACTTTGTGGTCGCCAGATGTATTTGCTTTGTTCCAACATGAGCGAGAGAAAACCTCCTAGTTGTCCGGACCACCCACGGGTTCAGTGCGCCTTCAAATTCACACGGCCGGCTGATCGTTCGAACTTTCGTCTGCTCTTTCAAACTTGTCTGCTTCTTGTCGTCTGCTTGTTCAAACAAAAGCGGCTCGTAGACCAAACTTTGACCCAGTGATTGCAATAAGAAGTAATTGCAGGCCTCAAAAGACTTAAGTAGGCTCCGTGTAAACAGTAGATACAAGATGTTGATCATTGGTACCGGTGGCCATCACCGACTTGTTACGCTTGCTCTGTTCCCGCTTCCGATTTTCAGTATCGACGTCGATCATCGCCGCTGCCTTCTACACTTTTGCAGCACGAGCGACGTCGCGACCGAAAATAGCTAGAAGAATCTCATCATGGTTTTGGCGTCCATTCTGTGGCGTTCATGCGAATGAATCGCCGCACGTAAAATTATTTATGGAAAGTTTAGTGGCGTAACGAGCCTTGATAATTTCGCTCAGGCGATTAAAGTGGTAAGACATTGCGATCAGGACGTAGAATCGACAATAGGCCATATGCGAAATTTAGAGCGCCATCTAGTAGCGCGCCGAGAACTACGTCCGCCATCTTGTTAGTGGCGAGAAAACGAAACCAGTGACCCGACCGGCAAAGACCCCATGTAAACAAGCGACCGCGCTTCGTGCGAGAGATGCGATGCCAACGAGTTTTTGTGTTCCGCTGCGGGTGCAGCGATAAACCTTCGATTCGTGCGTGACGTGAACAGGGCTCACAGTTTTTTTCTTGTCTTTATTAATTACTTGAGACGCAGCTTTTGACAAAAACAATCGGTGACAACGCGAAGGAACATGCGGACGTTATCGCGCGGCGTGAAGCCATTTACAACTATTGAACTGGGCCCTAATATTTTCACGGAGTTGTACCAAATTTGTTTATGACCTTCTTTTATGTGCGTTGTAGTGTCGGCCTGGCCTTTTTCCTGATGCGCAAGCAGCTCAACGCATGCGGACGAGACCAAGGATGTTAAGCGAGGCAAAACAATGGCAGTTTTAATAATCTAGGCCACCAACCGTAATTGAAGATGCCTATGGTTAACAGTGGTATGGTTAGGTTCATCGCAGTAGCTAAAACTTCGATTTCGGTGGTGGCAAAAATATTGACGTTGCGGACGTCGAATAAAGCAACACGGGCGGTGCCAAATTTATTTTACAACCTCCTTTTCTTTTTTCTTTTTTCTTCTTTTTGTCGCAGCTGAGGTAGAAATTTTGTTTTTGTGCAAAGAAGCTCGGGGGTAGTTTTGAGAAAATCACTGCAGTTATTCTGTCAGGGTTGAACAAATCATCATTAATAGCGCACCATCCGTCAACTGTGCTTGAGACCAATGCTATCTGAAACCAATTTTAGCCCTTTGCAACGCTTGAAAAATATTGCCCGGGGCACCGTTTCTTTAAGAAGAACGAAAAGTATTCTACCGAAAAACCCTCCGCCAGTAAGAACTAAAAAAAAAAAAAACAGAAAAAAAAACAAACTAACTAATTTTGAGTTATTATATTTGCATGGAGCAATATACGACTTCAAGCGTATTCGCATGAAAAAAATAATTAAAAGTGTTCTCAAAGATGAAAGGCATAACGGCCTAGTTCTTTCGGAGGCCTGTGCACACGCTGGCTACAACAAGCTTCCACAGCGAAGGCGTAGGACTTGGTCCGCTGCTTTGACGAGGTTGTCGCCAGCGTGCACAAGCCTCCCAGA